CGGCCTAGTCTCACTTTTACTGATATGGCAATACTAATTGTGAAAGTATACAAAAGTGATGTTAAAATTAATAATAATTTATCTAGAAGTGCTATTATTAAAATTAACCTAAAAAAAATTAAAATTAAATGAGTTTTTAACTAAAAAAAACTTAAGTAGAGATATTTTTGGAAGAGATTATTTTAAACAAAAGAAAGTGAGAAAAAGAAAGAAAATGAACCGCGAAAGAGTATTAGCAAAAAAACAAAAAAGACAATAGATAAAAGAAAAAATAGAAAAAAAAGAAAAAAAGTTAAAAAAAAAAAAAAGACAAAACTATAAGTAGCCTAACACGTGACCTCCTTTATTTTTATACATGTTAGATTAGATTAGATAAATTAGATGTGTATATATAAATATAAATATAGACATATAAATAAATGTATAGTTATATAGATAAATATATATGTATATTTATATTTATATATTATACGTATAGATTAACAAAATAAAAAAAAAGATTTTAATAGAGACAAATTAGATAAAAAGTTAAACTTTTTTGAAGGAATAAAAAATTAATTTGTGATTATATAAGAAATAAAAAGATGCTTAAATAGCCATGTATTAAAAAATAGGACAAATAGAGCAAAAACAAATGACAAATTTAAATATAAGAAGATATATATATATATATATATATTAGAATATACATATACGAAAGTTAAAGCAAAATGAATGATGATTTCAATGAAAAATAACCCATAAGAGTGTGGCTTTAGGTGAGAGAAAAATAAGAAAAAAATTAAAATAAGTTTTCCTAAAAAAAAAAAAGAAAGAAGTCTTTACGCCAGCAGACTCAAAGCCACAAGCAAAATAAATAAAAAAAAATGCAGAGCACAAAAGTGCACAACCCACCCCTATTAACTTAACTTTGTTTTTTTCTTCACCCACTCAAGTCACAATTAAGTTATATTATTATAATATTTTATCTCATAAAAATTCAAAATTTAACTTTTTTACTATAGAGATCGTTTATTTTATATACTCAAATTCAAATTATCAATTTTATTACAGTGTTTTCCTCTTATAAAAAAATAAATTTCAAACGTCAAAATCAAAAATTATAATTTAAATATACATTTTAAATAGATTTTATGTGTTTTTCTCTCACATACACTTTCTTAACCCATCCTCCATATGATGGCATCATCAATGCAGAAAAAAAATAACTTAAAAAATAAAGCAAAAAAAGAAGAAGAAGAAGAAGAAGAAGAGGAACCAGAAGCGCCATGTGGATGCATGTGGAAAGAGGGTTTTGCCTCTTCTATTATCCCATTTAGTTCGCTGATTCGAGTTTTTAATTTGAGTTTAGATGTGACTTTAAGTGAGAGCTTTTTACTGTGGCAAAAAAGTTAGATGTGATTGTTTGTGAGAGCTTTTTACTGTAAAAAAACTCAAATTCTAAACTCGAATCAACGAAATAAACGGGGGCTATATTTGTTAGATTAGATTGATTAGATAATATAGATTATTAAAGAGTTTCACTTGATTTTTATTATTAAATTGGGTAAAAATCGCATCAAATTAAAAAATTATACAAAATAAACAGTTTTTAATATTTAACGGCTGAAAAGTAAAGAACTATCAATAATTCTTTTTTTTCTAATCCTATAAAAAAAACTCCCTTACTATTATATATATTTTTCTTGCGTATTTAATTAAAGGAAGGGATCTCCGGTATGCTAACATACTGATAAGTCATGTTTTTTATCTGTTAGACCTGCGTAAAATCACGTGAAAATTAAAAAGTACGCAGATTCAACGGTTAGAAAAACTTAACCTACTGATACACTAAGCATACCAAAAATCTCTTTTTTTTTATCCACGCGTATTTACTTTCAAAATTAAATAAATTGTTTCTCTTTTGTAGGTTCAAATGTGGTTGTGGAAAATTCGGATTCCCTTAAAGAAAAAAAAAAAAAAAAAAAAAAAAGATAACTTAATTCTAACTTCTAAATAATTTTTCTCACTAGTAAAAAAAGGTTAAAAAACTAGAAAGTTCTTTGAAAGGGAAGGAAAATAAAAATATATATTTTTTGGGTAGTAAGGGAATAAATATACTTTATAAAACTCAATTTTGAATCAAATTCATACAAAAGAAAAATTGATTTTATAAGTACCTACTAAATTACGCTTATTAATTCAACATGCATACTAATACTAAATTTTTAAAAGGATTCATACTCTTCAACTTTATAAAATTGTTCAAAACTTTTCTTTTGTCTATATCCTTCTGTTAATATTACAAACAGATCTAGACCAAATGAGTGTTTTAAGCAATATAGTTGAGGGGTGAGATGAAAACCTTAAAATTCACTAAGGGCCCGTTCACTTCGTGCATTACACTCAAATAAAGTGAACTCGAGTTTATTTTTGGGCTGAAATAAGCGTTCGCTTACCCAAACTTGAATTTAAAATTCGAGTAATAACTCGAGTAGGTAAACTTCACCGTCCCCTCAAACTCCCATTACTCGAGTTATTTTCTACAGTGCTCTTCTGACATTTCTCTTCCCGTTGGATTCCTGCTGCCTCACGAGAAAGCTCTGCCTGCTCTGCAAAAAGCTTGCAGATTCTCCTCAATGAGACCAACGATTAATCAATCCACTATGAAATCGCTTGGACCGCTGCACACCATTCCCACAAGCGTGTTCTTCTTGGACTGCTGTGAAATCGCTTCATCCACCAAACTCACCCACGGTGAAGTTGCTCGCAGGTACATCCCATATAAACCCAGCCCAAATCGGCAATATTGGTGAATCCCGATCCCTATATTCCTTTGTTGCCTTCTCCTTCAGTGATTCAACACGGGAGAAATTGATCCCACGCGAGTGAGCCGGCTTCCTCCGTTGGCCGTGCTCCTGCGTCGATGTAGCGCCAAACGCCGTCTCCGACCTCCGAAGCGTGCTCCTAGAAATAGAGCTTTCTGTTGTCGGTGCCGGTATCCATCTCTTCACCGACGTCCATCACAGTCGCGTTTGGGGGTTGTCGAAGCAGATCAACCATTGTCCTCTTTCGGATCAAACACGGTAAGACCTTTTCTTTGACTGATTTACACTTCCATTGCCTCTGCATATGCCAGTGGATGATTACACTGCTAAATCTGAACATTGTCGTTTTTATTGGATTTCTTTTATTTGGATGTCGTTTACACTGAAGTTTAGCATGTTCATTTTAAATTCATTTCATGAAGTTGTATGATTGCCGTTGCATACTTTTCTATAGTTGTTTGAGTTATTAGAAGCTCTTCATACGCTAGTTTTGACAATTTCACTAAATACAATGGTATGAAGCATGTTTTGTTGTTTGAATACTTAGGCAAATCTGAGATGCAAATTTCCTTCCCGACATACAGTAGTTACTTGCTATAAGACATATGTTTACCAACAACTTACACAGAAACAGAAGTTTGATGGATGAAAACTAGAATGAAATGTGTTATTAAAGGCCCAACAATGTGTTATTTTGTGATACATTGATAAAGAAATGTGTTTACTCCTGATGTGACAAGCTTTGGTGAGAGATTTCCTGAGAGATTGTTATCACTAAGACCCAGAAACCTCAGCCTCTTTGATTCTGATATGGACTCTGGAATCTCTCCTATACGGCCTGTGTTGGAGAGATCCAATATGACTAATTTCTCCACCTTTTCCCACTCTAGGCTCATTAAGTCCCCACCAATTGGGTGATTGTCGTTATTTTTAATTTGAAAACCTTTAACATATGCTAATAATACATTTTCTTTCATTCTTCAATTCTCAGAAATCTTGCAGCGGGCAATAAGATTGTTGGCTATTAGATCACGTGCAGTGCTTATTGTTTCACTTCCAAATGTTTGTCCATTTTATTTATATATAATAATACAATAATTAGTTAATTTTATATAACTCGTTTGCCTACCTTGTTGTCGTATTGGCTGTCCTGTGGCCGTGTTTAGCTTATTGCCTCCCTTGTTGTTGTATTGTCTATCCTGTTGCCGTTTATACCTAAGCTTATTACCTACCCTGTTGTCGTACTGGAGTTATCTTATCACTATTATTTGTTGAATATGTAGATTGCAAGAATTACATGGAACAAGTGCTATCTTCTGATTTGGTGCCCATGGGGAACGGCATTAGGCATTGTTTGATGTCCTTTACTGTCATAAGCCAAGTTTGTTGCATTGTTTTGTGCCTCTGCCTAAACCCGGTGGATGATTACACTGCCAACTCCACCCATTCGTCGTTTTCATTGTGTCTCCCTTACTTGGATGTCGTTTACACTAAAGTGGACAGCATATTCATTTTAAATTCTTGAAATGAAGTTGTGTAATGCCTCTGCATAATGTTGTGTAGGTGTTTAAGCTGCCTCACGTCAAATGTTTGCAAGAGTATTTAACATTGGCTTATGTAGGTCCAGAAAATGAAGATAAATCCAATGCAATATCTTGTGTAAGTGGTGAGTTTAGTTGTGTGCAAGTGAACACATAACTAAGTTTTAAATGTCACATCAATCTCTTACTAAACACTTAACTCAAAATTCACATTACAACTCTAATTAAAAATAACTCAAGTTCACTTTTCTTACTCAAATCATAAAATTTGAGTTAATGAAGTGAACGGGTCCTAAATATCTAAAACTTGGGTACGCGATTAATTTTAAGAATATTTATGGAGTTAATAAAAAAAATATGATAAAATAAATTGTGTTTTTTTAGAAAATAAATTTAATATTGTTTAGTTCATGCATTTAAAACTTAAAATTTTATGGGAAAAACACGATAGTAAAACAGTTTAACCCTTTCAACAAAAAAAAAAAAAAAAATTTAAACCGTGGCTGATACACGAAACAAACAACCAAGATGATGGGGAAAAACAAAAAAAACAAACAAAAAGTGAAACAAAAAATTCTAACGAACGAGGGAAGAAAGCGAGGGAAGTGACGAAAGCAAAAGACCAAACAAGTCAAACTTTTTTTTTTCCTTTAGCTTTAATTTTTTTTTTCTTAAAAAAAATTATCTTTTAGATTCCATCGATTTCGGAATTGGGATCGCCATTTTTGTGGGTGACTTTACTTCCTGCTTTCTCTCCTTCACTCTCTCCTCACAGAAGAGAGAGAAAGAAAGAGAGAGAGAGGTCGAAAATGGCGGAGCTGAGGAGCGAGAGTGAGAGCAGGAGGCATGAACAGAGGCGAGTTGGACTGTTATACGACCAGAGGATGTGTAAGCATCACACGCCTGACGGTGAATACCATCCCGAAAACCCTAATCGCGTCAGAGCCATTTGGAAGAAGCTTCACAGCGCTGGTGTGCCTCAAAGGTAACGCAATTTCCGATGTCTGATACTTGTTTTTTGAGTTGACTTGATGCTGTTTGGATTCCGGGAAAATTGCGGGGAAGGAAGAAAAAGAAAATTAAAAAATTGGTTCTTTAAGCTCAGTTACGCAAGTTCAATTTCATGTTAACGGAATTTTGAAATTTCTGAGCAGTTTTCTGGGTTTTTCGTCTGTAATTTTATGTGTGTGGATCATTGATCATGCGAAGAATGATTTTCTTCTTTTGCTTTTGTATTTTGTTCTGATTTTGAATTTTGGTGGTTTATTTTCTCTTTCCAGGTGTGTTCTTTTGGATGCCAAAGAGGCTGAAGATAAACATATTCTGCTAGTTCACTCCCAAGATCATGTGCAGTTGATTAAGAATATAAGTTCCAAACAGTTTGATTCACAAAGAGCCAAGATTGCATCGAAATATGATTCCATATATTTCAACCAAGGATCATCTGAAGCTGCTTATCTTGCTGCGGGGTCTGTAATGGAGGTAACAATTTTGAGAGATTTTTGGTAGCTTTGGCATTTTCTTGCTTTTCGACAGTGCTTTAAGATTTTTTTTCGTTTTATTAGCATAATCCTATATTCTGCCAAATGTATGTTGAGTAAAAAAAAAATCCCCTTTTATCATGTAAACTCTCAAATTTCAATGTTGTTATTGTTGTTGTTGTTGTTGTTGTTTTTCCCCCCTCTCTCTGTCCTTTCTGTAAGCTAAGACATGTCTAACGTTGCTGATCATTTGAGTGGAACACTGGTTCTTATCTTTAATTTTTACCGTCTGTGAACTTTCTGGAAATCAACCAGTCATTTGTCTTATTTCTTCTTAATTTTGGAATCACTTGAAAATCTGAATTAGGACCATGGAGTTGCAAGTTACAACCTTATTTCAACTTTCAGAAATTCTATTGCATATGAAGCCACTTTCCCATTGTCAAAAGTTTATATATATGTATATGTATACAATTTGAATTAGCGAGTCTTATTATTGATGTTTTGAGACATAGGTTACTGAAAAAGTTGCCAAAGGAGAATTGGATTCTGCTGTTGCTATTGTCAGACCTCCCGGGCATCACGCTGAGAGAGATGAACCGATGGGTTTTTGTCTATACAACAATGTGGCTGTTGCAGCAAGTTTCCTGCTTGCATTTTTCCACTAATTCAGTGATACGTATTACATATTTGCCAATTTATCTGTCTTTTTGTTTGGTCTCTTTTTCTGCTGACCACCTGTCTTATTTGACAGCCGGAACTGGGTGTTAAGAAAATTTTGATCGTCGATTGGGATGTCCATCATGGTAATGCTACTCAAAAGATGTTCTGGGACGATCCTCATGTTTTGTTTTTCTCTGTTCATAGGTATGTTTCAAATTTACCTTATAACCAATCTTTCCATACATCTGGCCTATAGTGTATTGCATACACAAAATTTAACTGTGGTCTCCTTGTAAAAGTCTTAATTAGATATGCATAAGCACTCAAGTATTCTCTCCAAGAATGTAACGTTGCATTAAGCTGTTCTATGTGCTTATAAGGAATGAGCGAGTGATATTTAGCAACTTGCAGTTGATTCCTTTGTCCCATTTCCATAAATGCTTCCTTTCGGAAGATTTTGCAACATAAATATCTGTTTGTCGCTTAAAATCACTGGACTCTAGCCGTGATCATGTGGAGCTCTCTGGTTTTCTGTAGGCACGAGTTTGGGAGTTTTTATCCGGCTACTGATGATGGGTTTTATACAATGGTTGGTGAAGGACCGGGTGCAGGATATAATATAAATGTCCCTTGGGAGAATGCTCAGTGTGGGGATGCTGATTATCTTGCAGTTTGGGACCATATTTTGGTTCCTGTTGCCAAAGAATTTAGCCCTGACATCATTATAGTCTCTGCTGGATTTGATGCAGGTTGGTCATTTAACCTTATATGTTGAAAAATTTGTTTATACTTTTTTGAATTCTTTCATCATTCATGTTGATATGGGTTTTTATTATTTCTTCATAACTACCAAATTTTTGGTGCCAACTCATAAGTCAGAAGTTAGTTTAGTATCTCTTTTTCACCACCTCTTTTGATCTATTGCTTGGAACAGCTATCAACGATCCCCTAGGAGGTTGTCGTGTCACGCCATATGGATACTCAGTTATGCTTAAGAAGGTACGCCATGTGGATACTCAGTTATGCTTAAGAAGGTAAGTGATAGGTTCCTAGTAGTTTAGTAGGAAATTATCAAACAAAATGAAGGAAATAACCAGAAGAAGGGTCTGGTTCCTGTTATTGTTATTGATATTGGAAGTGACTACAAATTGAAAGACGGAAGGGAATTCAAGGACCCCTCCTAACCTCCTCCAGACTCAATGGTTCACAATACAATTCTTGATGCCCCACTCTCAAATCCCCCCTCCTATTTATTCTACTTTCTCCCCATAACAGACTCTCGGGATCCTCACATAACCGAATCCTACAATTGTAACAAACTTCCCTACAGCCCTTCCAAGTCCATTCCCGAAACTACCCTTGCTCATTCCTTGCCAGGCCTTGACCATCCTTCCTCCTCCTAGCATATACAAACTTAAGGGGTGGAGGCCCAACATTACCCCCCTTCTGAAGTGCAACCTTGTCCCCAAGGTTGAAAGTCGGGAATTGCTCTGTGATCGTGGCCAGGGGTTCCCACGTAGCATCCCACACTGGTAAACCCGCCCATTGTACTAATACCTCAAGCACTTGACTGCCTCCAATACTGATGGTGCGAGAATCCAAAACCGCAGCCGGTTGCACAAGGAGCTCCAAGTCTTCAGTCAACTGTGCAGGCAGGGGCTGCCCCTGATCAGGAAGTCCGCGGAAAGCCTTCAACTGGGACACATGGAATATCGTATGTATCTTGGCGGTCACCGGCAAGTCAAGGTGGTAAGCGACCTGCCCTACACGCTCAAGGATTGGAAATGGCCCATAAAAACGGGGACTGAGCTTCTCATTGACCCTCCGAGCCAAGGATTTCATAAAGGGCGAAGCTTCAATAGCACCATGTCACCAGGTGAGAATTGGGCCTCCCTACGGTGTCTGTCCGCGAACTTCTTCATGCTGTGCTGAGCCAACGGAAGGTGATGCTTGAGTGTGTCCAACATTTGGTTGCGATGCTGGAGCTGCACCACAACCGCATTGATTGCTGTCGAACCATCTACGAAGCGGTATAGGGCAGGGGGGTCACGACCGTACACCACTTGAAAGGGGGAGCGTTTAATGGAAGCATTATACGTCGTGTTGAACCAATACTCCGCCCATGGTAAGATGGCGAACCACTGCCGCGGCTTGTCGCACGCAAAACAACGAAGATATGTTTCCAAACAATGGTTGGTAACTTCTGTTTGGCCATTCGTCTGCGGGTGGTACGCGGTGCTTGGATGCAATTTAGTCCCCTGCAACTTAAACAATTCCCGCTAGAAGAGACTCATGAAAACAGAGTCTCGATCACTTACAATGGAGCGGGAAAAACCATGTAGACGCACTATGTCCCGGAGGAACAAGGTGGCAACCTGTGTAGCCGAATAAGGATGTGCCAACGGACAAAAATGCGCGTACTTGGAAAGTCTATCTACCACCACGAATATGGTATCCATACCTTTGGATTTGGGGAGTCTGCCGATGAAATCCATAGATATGTCTTCCCAAATCTGTTGTGGGATGGGCAGCGGCTGCAATAACCCAGCGGGTGATAAGGCTTCTGTTTTGGCGTGTTGGCAGGTAGAGCAATGTGAGACATAGTCCTTGATAGTCTTCTTCATCCCCTTCCAAAAGAAAACCGTTGAAATCTGCTTATAGGTATGCAAAAACCCTGAGTGGCCGCCTGTAACAAAGTCATGAAAATCGTGCAGGATGCGCGAGACCCAACTGGAGGATGGCGGTATCACGACACAGCCTCGAAAGAACAGTAAGTCCCGGCGGATGTCGTAGCCTTCTCTGAGTGGTTGGCCTTGGAGGGCTCTCGCTATGGTATCCATGCACTCAGAGTCGGCGCGCTGCTCCTTTATAAGGCCCTCGGAGTCCACCTGGTGATTGATAGACAAAGCCGAGAATGTAGCAGAAGTTTCGCTTCCCCGCCGTGTAATGCATCAGCCACTTTGTTGGAAGCCCCTTGCTTGTATTGCACTTCGAAGTCATATCCTAATAACTTGACTATTAGCCGGAGGTGCTCTGGTGGCAGGATGCGTTGATCCAACAAAAACCGCAAACTTTGCTGGTCCGACCGAACCACAAAGTGCCTGCCCAGGAGGTAGTGACGCCATTTTTGTACTATGAGCACTATGGCGAGAAGCTCGCGCTCATACACTGAGGTCAACCGCGAACTGGCCGACAACACCTTGCTGAAGTAAGCAATTGGTATCCCTTCCTGTATAAGAACAGCCCCAACGCCTACACCCGACGCGTCTGTCTCGAGGACAAACGACTTGGTGAAAACTAGCATGGCTAGCACTGGCAGCTCTGTCATCGCCTTCTTCAGTTGGAGGAAAGCCATTTCTGCTAGGTCCGACCAATGGAATGTCCCCTTTTTGAGTAACTCAGTAAGAGGTCGTGCTATGGAACTGTACCCCTGCACGAATCGCCTGTAGTAGCCGGTAGGCCCAGGAAACCACGAAGTTCGCGAATGTTTCGCGGAGATGGCCATGTCAACATTGCCTCGACTTTGGAGGGATCAGTGGAAACCCCCCTGCTAAGATCACGTGGCCAAGTGGTAGGCCCAGGAAACCACGAAGTTCGCGAATGTTTCGCGGAGATGGCCATGTCAACATTGCCTTGACTTTGGAGGGATCAGTGGAAACCCCCCTGCTAAGATCACGTGGCCAAGGTATTCTACTTGTTTCTGACCAAAAGTGCACTTTTTATAATTGGCAACTAACTTCTCTTGTTATAACACTGCCATCACTTGTCGCAAATGGTCATAATGGGCCTCCCATGATTGGCTGTACACGAGAATATCATCAAAAAAGACCAAAACAAATTTATAAAGGTAAGGGCGAAATACCGATTTCATCAAGGACTGGAACGTGGCGGGAGCGTTGGTCAAGCGAAAAGGCATGACGAGAAATTCGTAGTGCCCCTCGTGAGTTCGAAATGCTGTTTTCTCAACATCACTCTCCCGGACCTTGATTTGGTGGTAACCTGCGGTTAAGTCCAGCTTGGAAAATACCGTAGCTCCATGTAGCTCATCCAATAGTTCGTCAATGACAGGGATCGAAAATTTGTCAAGCACTGTCAACTGATTCAGTGCTCGATAGTCAACGCAGAACCGCCAACTGTAACTAACAGAACTGGGCTGGAATAAGGACTGCAGCTAGGTCTAATTATGCCCGAGATCAACATGTCCAAGACCTGCCTCTCGATTTCCGCCTTCTGTATGTGAGGGTACCTATATGGCCTAATGTTCGGGGGAGAAGCACCCCCCTGCAGGACGATTCTATGCTCTCTTGCCTGTCGAGGGGGCAAACCCTTAGGTGTGTCAAAAACCTCGTTGAACTCGTGGATGAGGTTCTCATAATTCGCATCTAAGGGAAGCATTGCCGAGTCTGGTGTTCCAGCCTCCACTGAACAGAGCTCCAGCAGTACTCCCATTTTCCCCAGGCTCCACGAACGAGTCAAGGAACGGAAACTAACCGGGGAGCAGCTTAAGGAAGGGTCCCCTGTCCAACTGATCCATTCCCCATCCTTCTGGAACTTCATAGTGAACTTCGCCCAATCTGCCCGCACCCCAAAGTCTTGAGCCATGTAAGCCCCAGCACCAAGTCCGCACTTCCTAGTTCAAACGGAAAAAAATCCTCGACGACCCACTGGCCTTGGATGAGTACTCGCACCCCTTGGTAGATTCCATTCTGCTGGAAACTCATCCCATTTTCCACCTGGATCTTGTGCTGGATTGACGAATTGGCGGGAATAGCAAGATCCTGTACCAGACGGGCCGAAATGAAGCTGTGAGACGCCCCGCTGTCCACCAGCATGATGACTTCCCGTTCGCCGATCGTCCCCCGCAGTTTCATAGTCTTCGCAGTCGCGAACCCCCGAATCGAGTTTAGCGACAAGGCTGCAGTTTCCTCTACCGCCTCTTCTTCCTCTTCCGCCGTCGCCGCCCTTTCCTCCCGGTGACCCTCCTCTCGTCCAGAGTCATCTTCGGCGACAAGCAATACCTGTAATTGTTGGAGTTTGCAACGGTGCCCTGGATTGAATTTTTCATCGCACCTGAAACACAGCCTGCGCGCACGCTTCTGTTGGACCTCTTCCAAGGAAAGCCGCCGGAAAGCTGGACTGCCGCTGACCGTCAGGTTGGCGGCCCTATTGGAGGATCTCAGATTCTTGGCGTTGGGTTAATCTCTTGCTGTGTTTGGGATCGAAGAGAGCTCTCGGTGGGTTCAGAATAATTAGGGCAGCCATTATAACCCGAAAAAAATCCAAACGGGTGCTCCGACCCGCCCGAGTCCTCCGGATCCGATCCACCGCTTCCAGCCTGTCCTCCTCCTGTTGAGCCAAATCCATGGCTTCTATCAAATTACTGGGTCGGTGCATCTTGACTTCCGCCCGTATGTCCTCCCTCAGAACATTCAGGAAAGCACTCCTAAACACTTTCTTGAGAATTTCCTGCAGGGTCGCCGCCAGCGTCTCGAACTCTTCCCGGTACTCCGCCACCCGACCACCTTGCCGGAGCGCCATCAGCTTCTCTGTTGGGTCTCTCTCGCGCGACCTGCTAAAACAGTGGAGGATGGCCTCCCGCAAATCCCGCCAATCCACAAACGGTTCCTGAGCATCAAGCCACTGGTACCATCCCAAGGCTTTTCCCTCCATACAAACCGACGCCGCCAGTACCATGTCGCCCTCATCTACGTCGTTTATAGTGAAGTAGCGTTCGGCCCTGAACACCCATCCATGAGGATCTTCTCCATGAAACAACGGTAATTCCAATTTCTTCCCTGTGTTCTCCTCATGCTCACGGTCTCGCCGGTGATCCGTAGCGAGGGGGCCCGTCCCTTCCTCTGGCCGGTTCCCTCTGCGGGGGACTGAGCCTTCCCGGTACTGATCGTACCGGTTCCCTTCTTGGCGGAGTGTGGCCATCCCGTGCTCGCCTCGGGGGGGAGTGGTCTTCCCCGGGTCAGTGTGGCGGTGGGGGTTGAGCGCGCGCCTGCCTCACCAGGAACTCTTCCAGCCTCGTGATCGTCCCTTGGATCCCTTCGATCTGGGCTCCCATCGTGGCCACACTTCCCTGCATCTCACCCATTCGCGCTCCCAGAGATTCAACCTCCCCCTGCAAACTAGGCATCAGCTCCATGCTGTCCCCGATCTCCTGTAGGGTATCCTGAAAACTATTCAACCTCCTCTCCACGGAGGCCACTCGGTCCGCCTGGTTCGCCATGGATCGTATGGCTCTGATACCAATTTGATAGGTTCCTAGTAGTTCAGTAGGAATTATCAAACAAAATGAAGGAAATAACCAGAAGAAGGGTCTGGTTCCTGTTATTGATATTGGGAGTGACTACAAATTGAAAGACGGAAGGGAATTCGAGGACCCCTCCAAACCTCCTACAGACTCAATGGTTCACAATACAATTCTCGATGCCCCACTTTCTAATCCCCCCTCCTATTTATTCTACTTTCTCCCCATAACAGACTCTCGGGATCCCCACATAACCGAATCCCACAATCGTAACAAACTTCCCTCCAGCCCTTCCAAGTCCATTCCCGAAACTACCCTTGCTCATTCCTTGCCAGGCCCTGACCATCCTTCTTCGTCCTCCTAGCATATACAAACTTAAGGGGTGGAGGCCTAACAGTAAGGCGTTTATTAAATTATTTTCTTATCTTTTTTATGTTCTTTTATTATGCTGTAACCTTTATTGTTGAATGATAATATGTTGCAATGCAAGGTTAACCGCTCTAACCGGGTACCATTTTAGATATTGAACTGCCTGTTTTCTAATTTTTGTGTTACTAGATTGTTATGGTGTTTTGATAAAACATAACCTTTATCGAAGAATGATGATATGTCGTGTTCTAAATTCTAATCTTTAAACTTAGTGCCTATATAGATTGCAAATAACCTATTTTTGTTTCTCTGGACTGCGTCTTATTAATGGTTTGAATTGATTTTCAGCATCAATTATAATATTTTTGCTTTTCAACTTTTTTTTCTTCAGTTGATGGATTTTGCCCATGGAAAAATTGTACTAGCTTTGGAAGGAGGATACAATCTTGAGTCTATAACAAATTCAATGCTTGCTTGTGTTGAAGTGCTGCTAGAAGATAAGCCAATTCTTGGATCTTCAGGGGCATATCCATTTGAATCTACATGGCGTGTAATACAAGCGGTAAAATAACACTCTGAAGTTCCCTTGTTCCTTTTATTTTTTTCATTTTGGGGGAGGAGGATGGGATATGTTGAAGGGAGTGCGTATGATATTTTTTCAGCTGGTTTATTTTAATTATTTTCATTTCTATATCAAGAAAAAAAAAATTTCACTATAGCAAATATGATCCACTTTGCAGGTTCGCAAGGAATTAAGTGCTTTCTGGCCAACTCTTGCCGAGGGACTGCCAGAGAAATTACTCGATCAAAAAGCACCCACAATTCCTGTATCTTCTTTTCTCCCGCTCTCTTTTCAATAAGAGATAAAATACACGTTTTATTCTGACTTCTGAGCGTTGAAACTAGAAAAGTTGCCTTTTAACATGTTGGAACACCGAGCATGTAGAATTGTTTTCGTAGTTGCCAGATTATGATTTATGAGTTTGTTTAGTTGGCAAGATAATTGATTTCTGGCCTCAGCATACAGAATTTCCTTTACCATGTCGTTGTGCACTTTCTTATTTGGTGTCTTCCTTGGAGCTTTCTTGGCTTCTATAACTAATCTTTGAGTTGTTGGTTCAGGAATTGCTAAAATTCAGACTGAAACTTTGACGCCTGTACTTTGCAAAAGATTAGTATGGAAGCATCTAATCTAATTGTAATTTAAAATAAAAACATGAAAGATCACATGTCACTATCAACAAGTCTAGGTGTCTTCAAGTCCCAGTTTTATTTATCCTTTGCTTAACTTATTTTCCTTTGCTTAATTTATTTTCCTTTATCTATTAGTGTTATTATTTTTTGGATTAAGAGCATTCCTTTACTTCTCTTGACCGCCATGCGCTCTTCTACTATTGTTGATCTCTTCATTATAGCATGTTCTAATCTCAAGCTCCGATTCTGATGTGGAGGATAATGAACGCCCGAATGGTGTATCAGAAAATTATGAAGAGATTTTTCAGGATGTTATAGAACCCCTTTCGAAATTGAAAGTTAATGAAGGTATATAGATTTTAGGGCCAAAGTGATAATATGAGAGTGCCTATTTAGAAAATTATTTGATTTTTTGCTATAAGTAAGATGACATCTGTAACTGTTTGCAGGTCAAGTGGATAGCAATACTAACGCCTGGAGATCAGAGCTTTCCAAAATTGATGTCTGGTATGCCTCTTTTGGATCGAATATGTGGCAACCAAGATTCCTGTGCTATATTCAAGGTGGACAGGTAAAGCTTGAGTTAAAAATGCGAACAAATGTATGATAATGCTATTTCGTAGGTTTCTATAATCTAAACCAACATTTTGGTGTGCGTCATATTTCAATACAATCACAATTGATATTCAAGTATTTTTATCGCCTCTCTCTCCATTACCTGCTCACGACTTTTTGACATTTTCAAAATGATTCTCAGGTGGAAGGTATGCAAAAGGCATGTTCTGGCTCAGAAGATAAAACGCCGCCAAAGGAAATGACGGGGAAGTCTTTCCCTCATCGGTTATTCTTTGGCCGTGAATTTACACAAACATGGGGTGCTGGCGCGGTAGCTTTTCTCAATCCTGAAACTAACAACCAAGAAAAAGTTTACATGTGCCTGTACAGAATTACGTATGTCATCTTTTGTAGCTCCCTTTTCTTGGGTGTCCCATTCTTTAGGGCGCGTTTGGAACTCGTTCCAAAATGATGTTTTTTGTATGAAAATGAAAATGAAAACGTTTTCAATCTCAGACAGAAATCATTTTTGAAAATGTGTTTGGTAGTTTTATCAAGAGATTGTTTTCAGTATAAAAAAACCCATTAATGTCTCTCTCTCTCTACTCGAGAGAGGAGAAAACGGAAACAAAAAATGAAAAACGACTAAAAGTCGTTTTTCATTTATCTCATTTTACACTAAACCAAAAAATCGTTTTCATTTTTGTTTTTTGTCTTTATTGCGCCAAACGCCGTTTTGAAAACGTTTTCATTTTTTCTTTCTCGAAAAATGTAAAAAATAAAAACGAGATCAATTCCAAACACAGTCTTAACTTTTTTCCATTCTTTAACTTTTTTGCAGATAATGTCGGTTCCTATGACTTATCATCTTGCTTATTTGTTCTTGTGTCTTGATTTTATTAGACTTGAGCAGTTCAACGATGTTCTGCTTCAGGAGAATACTCGAAGTGCTGCGATCAGTTCTCCTTTTGATCTGACTGCTTTAGACTCATTCACAAGTGGAGAGTCAAATTCTGTGGAGGTTAACTTGGAGGTATTTCATGTTTCTGACACATTCTTTTGTTTTAGGATAGAGCGATTTAAACTCTCGATAGTCCTATGTTTTGAACTATTAACTGTTTTCTAGGCTGGAGCTATCAATCACTCGACCACCTCTTCAAAAGAAAATTCCTACTTTCATTTTATGTACGCCCACCAAATAGACATAGCAATACAAATTAATGCCATTACTATTTTGTATTAAGATATATAAAGTATGAATTGTCACGCCCCGAAACAGGGGTTAGTGACGTGGAGGCTCGTTTAGAAGTTAAACATGATTAAGGGAGTAATTAAGCATTTGAAAATATGAAAATCAATCCCAAAAGTAAAACATTAAGAAAATTTCCAAACAAGCCCCCACATTTTGATGAAATTTGTTTTCGAGAAAGTGATGGGAATTTTCACAACTTTTTGATAAAACACGTAACTGAGCCTCTGGCATCATTCAGGGTTTTCCCCACAGGATATTTCATATTGTACATACATGAACATGTAAAGAAACAGTTATAGACATCAACCAGTCTAGAAATGTTTAAGGTTTACAATCTGAGAATATACAATCCTTACATTATAACAAGTCCGGGTTGGTTGCAATGTCTTCACTTGAACCTCTTATACAAAGATTTCTGGCAGTAGCAACTTACTCAGCTACTCAGCACTACCTCTAGCGTCGTCTAGGGTTAAATACATTAAAACAAAAGAAAAATGAGCGGAATGCCAGTAGGATATATTTTAGAAAACTTTAAATAAATAGAAATGCACAGTCCTAACACATCAGTCGGAACTAAACATCATTTTTCTGAAAAGAAAATATAAACTTAAATTCTAGATTACAGGCATCAACAAGTAATTTATACCTATCATAAATTACTTACACAATCAAAAACACAAGCTTCATCACCACCGTAGTGGCATATATGAGTTTCAAGTCCTGCCCCTAAGGATATGATCTCCATATCTTGAATTTTAGGCCATCAGCAAGCTTATTAGTTCGCATGATATCTTATCTTTAAGAAAATATCTATTAAAATTTAAAATCAGTTCATTATGAGTGCAATAGCAATAATCATGTTATTGTCTTAAACTACTTTTCTTTATCAAACATGTTTTATCTTTAAAAACATTTATATAGACCAAAACACTTTAAAACAAACTAACAAGGATTTGGACAAGAATATCCTACCTCTCTGGTATAGTTCTACAGCTAGCTCCTTGTCGTCCTAGCCCGACTTCGTTCGAAGCTCAACCTTTGCCTTTCTGCAATTTCCGCTATTAAAATAATGTTCTAGGATTCAGACTTCATCATCAAAACAAGTCAAACTTAATAATGTATAATTGTATCATACGTGTGCCTTTACTTAAAATCAAAGTTCATAAACAATTTCATATTTCAAATCATGATTCTTTGAGAATTGGAACCCACACAAGAAAATGGGATAGGACAAGGATCAATGTGACTAATCCACTCACTTTGAGTTCTCAAATAAAGTTAGGTTGGTTCTATATTGAATTTCGGGATCAAAATAGGGTTTTTAAGCATTTTTTGGTCGAATCATGTGTGCACTGGTCGACCGGTGACAGAGAAATGTAACTCTACCGGTCGGCCGGTGGAGTGGTGGCCGGTTGGGGAGTAGACATGCTAAAGAAAATGGTTGATCCGCAAGGAAAAACTCCAAAACCTGCAAATCCAAGTTCAATTTCGAGATATTTCAAAGGAAAATTATCAAATCCAAGTTCCAATCAACAAATTGAGTTCAAAGAACCAAACTCCCCAAATCTCATCATGATTTTAACCAAAATGCATTCAAAATTTCAAACTTAAACTAAGTTTTCACCAACTAAACCCAAATCAAGTTCCGTCAAAGGTAAGTTCCGAATTCAAGAGTAGTTTTTCAAGGAATTTACCTCAAATTCTTCATTTGATGTTAAAAACTCATTAAAGTTTCCCTTTGGTTTAACTCTTGGTCAAGAACTCGCTTGGAGACAAATTTTGAGAGGAGAGAGACGAGAGAGAGTGAAACGAGAGAGAGAGAGAGCAGGGAGAGAGAGTGTGCTAAGAGAATAGAGAGAGATCTGAGAGAGTAACGAGAGAAGCAGAAAAAAAAAAAGGAGAGAAAAAGAAAATAAAAGAAATAAAAGGATAAACATCGAAAGATATTTAGAAAAATAGATCAAAAAATGTGTCTCCACACACTTCTGAGGTAGAAATATAAATACTAAAAATGTTTAAAATCCTTAGAATTATTTAAACTTGGATATTAGAAAATATTCAATGAACATAATTAATTAAATAAACCAAATTTGACACATTAATAAATCACAATTAACATAATTAAACATGTTTAATTCTTTGAAGTGTTATAAATGTACAAGTCTGCCTTTTGTCAAATTGTATATAGATGCATTATCTAGCATTCCCCTTTTTTAAGAAATAAGAATGATGCATTGTAAAATCCACACAAAAAAAAAAAAAAAAGCTACTGATTATGGCATAGGGGTTTAAATTTAGTTGTATCTTCCATGCAGAGGGGTTGGTACCGTAACGTTGTTTACTTGGGAAAGGAGCATGATATACCCATACTCACAATGACGTAAGTGTTTTAGCATCAAAATACTTTTACCCACTTTTTTCTTTTCCATTTTCTTCTTTTTTATGGAGTAATTTTAAGAATCTCGAATTCTTGTTCTCTTTCAATTATTCTCCTGCAGGTGTTCAAATTCTGAAATTGAGGGCTTTAAATCCGGAGAGCTTCCGTTGCGAGCTCCGTCAGAGAGGTATGCCAAGACATTGGTAAGGGGTCTGGTAGAAGGAAAACAGCTTTCAGAAGCAGAGGCTATGGCATACATACAGGAAGCTTCTACCAAGCCACTGTGATTGCAAACCTCTTATTCTTGTATATACATCTATTTAACACATTATTGCAGCAATTATTTGTCAATATTATTCTTGGTTCTGAGTTCCGAAGGCAGAGCCTTTGGGGAATGCATTGCTTTAGGACGTGTGGTTGATTCCTAGGAAACTTGTGGTGTGTTGAATATGTGAATTTAATGGGATTCGAATTGCTATAATTTTTGTCTCGAGTTTTTGCCTTTTAATTTATCTGATTTAGAGATTAGAAAAGATGGGTTAATACTAAAGAATACCCACATATATTTTGGCAAGAGGGAGTGAATTCAGGAAATCAAACACCTCTCTTGTATATAAAAAACTACCAAAATGACAGGATAAAACCATTCTAATAAAGATGAAGCTTATTTTGATGCATTCCATAAAGCTTAAAATCTTCGAAAGTTCCAACCATGAAAGTTTGTTCAGACCAGGCAAATATAGGAAAGAGCTTTATTACAATTATTTGAGTTCAACCTTCCAAAACTTTCTTAATCATAAAAATTACGAAGTATAATTCCTCTTCCATCTACTAATTATTCTTGTAATTTATAGTTCCCAAATAAAAATGAAAGAATAATTTGAACTAAAAAAATGGACGCTCAGCTTTATAATACACTCCGCAACTGTGTTCTCATCGGCATTTTAGTGTAGCGTGTCCAGTGTCAGTCAAATGCTTATGTAATTTATTCCTGCCATGAAAAAACAGAATAAATTCAAGTGATCTAAATATAGGTTACAGCTGATAATAAAAGGATGAAAAAAGAACGCAACATAAATTTCTTACTTTGATTCAAACTCTTCTCCGCATTTCTCGCATGCATTGCTTGAATTCTTTGATGTTGCCTGATTTCACATGCACCAATTATCATCACAAATTATAAAGCAAAGAACATTAACGGAGAAGCAAAATTCTGTGAGATACCTTTGCTTTCTTTCCTCTGGATGAGTTTTTGGATTTGGCATTTGTATCATTCTTTGCCTTGCCCTTTTTGTCAACATGTTGATTTGAACTCTTCTTGTTATCTGCTAACAAGTCATCTTCTTTGCCATTACTTTCATTTTCCGCAACAGAACGAGAAGATGACTCCTCCTGGTGGTGTAAATTCTCATCTCCATTACTTTCCTTGCTCTTCTCACTTCTACTTACTCCAGCCTCCTCACCATTCTTTCCACTCCTCTCTTTTCTTGCTCTCCGATTCCGCCTCGTGGTCTTCCGTTTATTGTAGTCCATAAAATCATCATCATCATCATCATTATCATCATTCTCAACATGCACATTGATCGAATTCAAAGTCCCATTAGTCTCTGGCAACGAACCATTCTTTTTCCTGTTCCTGCGTCTGCCCAGCATTGCTTCGAGAACACCAATTTCATCATCAACAGTGTCGTCATCGCCATTATCGGCATTTTCACCGTCCTCATCATCTTCAGCATCAAAACCAACTTTCTCGCCATCCTCATCAACCCCATTTGCGGCACCAACTTCACCAAACTCATCATCATCCCCATTGCTTAACTCAACCTCTTCTTCTTCACCAATCCGAAATCCATCTCTCATTTTCTCCTCCAATTCCTCCACCTCGCCATCTTTCTCATCTCCATCTTCTCCTTCCAAATCATCTTCAAACTCTTCATCCCCAACCGACTCCCTAAACTCCGCAACCTTCTCGCGGTGCTTTTTCGACTGCTCGTGGTTCTTCCATTGCTTCTCGCTCTTAAACTTCTTCCCACACACCACACAATACAATTCCTTCTTCTCCTCCACTTCCTCAACCACATTCTCCTCCTCCTCCGCTTCCTCCTCTTCTCCGATTCTCGACCACTCCGGCTCCTCGTACGCCATGGCCCGTTCCAACCTCTCTCTCTCCATTTTATTCTTCCTCTCTCTCTCCTCCTCCCTCCTCTTCTCCATCCCCAAATTCTTCTTTACCGCCATATCAATCACTCTCTTATCCCTCTTCTTCACAAACTCCGCCAACCCCCGAACCGTCTCGTTGTACTCCCGCCTCGCCTTCTTCCTAAGCTTCTTGTTCTCCTCCTCCATAACCCTCCTCGACTTCCGGTTCACGCCGGCCATGGCATCGTACTGATCAACCCAGCAGAAATCCATCACCGTCGAAAACCCGAGCCAATAGCCATAAAACGCCGTTACCTGAGTGTACGGACTCTCCAAATTCCCCATTGCCGGAGCTTCCCTCACGGCGTCCAACCCTAACCCTAGCTTCGACGCAAAACTGAGCTCGTTCGCATAAATCTTACTGAAAACATCCGAATAAACCTTGTAGAATCCCTTCCCGGTGTCGGAGTAGCCGGAGAAGACGGAGTTGGAGAAGAACGAGAAGAGGTTGGGGATGACCGAGTCGGGAACCGAGTCCGCCGAGTTAGGATCGGCGAAGAGGATCTGAGAGCGGTGAGAGTCGTACCATGCGCGCTCCTTGGGATCGGAGAGGACCTCATAGGCCTGAGAGAGCTCCTGGAACCTGGCGGTGGCTTCGGACTGGGAGAGTCCGGATTGGACGAGCTTGTCGGGGTGGAGCTGGAGAGCGAGCTTCTTGTAGGCCGACCGGATCTCGTCGGCGGTGGATTCTCGCCGGAGACCGAGGACCTCGTAGTGGCACCGCCTTCCCGACGCCGCCGCCATTGATGAAGCTTGAATTCTCTCTCTCTCTTCTCTGTTTTTCTCACTACGCGGTAACGACGAAGAAGTGGGAAATAAAAAGGAAAAAAGACGAAAATAAAATTTATTTAATTTTGAGAATACGTAAACGAAGCTTACTTTACGAACACCCAACATTTTTTTTTATATGGAAAAAAAAGAATAGGCGGGTGTATTTATAGCGTAATATAAGGTTGGGACGGAAATAAGAATTTTATTAGAACTCTAAGAAAAAAAAATTTAGAAATAAACTTATTTTTGTTTTTTGGGGTTCCCCAATAGTTCTAATTCTTTTACGTAAAAAAACATAATAGGCTGATATATTTTTTTAGGAAATAATCCTAAAAGTAAAATACGAATTTATCTTTGTAAAAAACCAATTTTGACATAATAAAGGATATAAAGGTGGTTTTGGGGCATGTTGGTCTTATAAAGAGGTATTTAGAAACTAGTTTCAATACAATTCAAAATAAAATTTAAGCACATGAATATATACACTCTGGTCAGGTACTTGTATAATCATGTATAAATTGTATATATTTATACGTAAATCATGTATATTTATATGTAAATTATGTATATTTATATGTAAAGTCGTGTGTATTTAACATGAAATACAATAAATCAGTCAATATACATATTTTCATGCTATGTGTTCACTAATTGCTATAAAAAAAACATGTTTTGAGGATTAATATACATTGTCATTTTTTATAATTTAACATACACGATTTATATATAAATATACACGATTTACATGTAAATATACACGATTGTACAATTATACAAGTGCAATATAAATATACACAACTTACCTGTAAATATACACACTTCATACAAAAATGTACAAGTACCGTTCTGATCCAAGTGCCTAATCAGAGACTTTGCATATATATATATATATATATATAACTATATTATATATATACACACACTACACATATTTTTGAATAATATAACTTGTATAAATATGTAAACCTACTAATCAAACAGACTCGTAGTTTGATTTCATATGACACAAATGAAAGTTAATAATTATTAGGAGTGCAAATTCGATTTTATAGTGGAAGTTGTATCAAATCAATCACTAAACTATGAGTGTTTTAACTTTAAAGTTAGTCTACATGCTTAATAAGTGAAAGAAAATTGAGAAACATCTTAATGATCACGAAGTCAAATGACATGTAGTAAAATAAGATAAGAATTGAGTATAATAGATACGTGAGCGCTGAATATAAGTTGTACGGACTAAACTAAGAAAAGTGTGTCAAAATTAATCATTCTAATTAAATTAATGTGTTGAAACGTGTGTTTGGTAAGGGAATTCGTACCCTGATTCGAATCATGGTTCATGGTTCGCTACAGTTTTTTCTCACACTAAAAATACACGTAAATCGAAAATGATTTTAATCTCATGATTTTAATCCATGAACCAAACGTCTCATAAATATCACTTGAAAAATGATTCTAATCTCATGATTTTAATCCATGAACCAAACGTCTCATAAATATCACTTGCTTATGCACCATTCTAAACTGTTTTTTTTTCCTAAAACTTATTTTTTTTTATCTTAAAAAAAGATTTAATTTTTCAAAAGGGAATATATTTTAAAGTATGAAAAGGCAATATAAATACCAATCTACAAACATAACCCTTACTACTGGAAACACAATAGCGGCAAACAATTCATTTCATTTAGAGCCCGTTTGGTTGGAGGATTCGTTCTCTGATTCGAATCATAGTTCATGATTCGCTACAGTATTTTCTCTCACAAAAAACACACGTAAATAAAAAATAGTTATAATTCATGAACCAAACGGGATCTTAGTAAACTCGAATTAATGTGTATCATATTGTACAATGGAAAACACCCAAAAAAGTACACAAAAGATTGAGCACATACATGGTTTTTTAATAGATCCGCTACAATTGACAGGAAAGTCCGATCAACCAATGTTGAACAATTCATAGTATTAAGGCCACGCAAAATCGAATAAAGAATAGATCTCGCGAACGAAAAGTCAATCAAATATTAAACAAACAAGACAATAAGAGAAACTAATGAAGGTAAGAAACAATGTTATTACTAATGAAAGATTTAAAAATCTACAAACTTGAACATCAAAACACTAAGGAGATAAATTTTTGAAGTTGTAAAACAGGTGTCAATGTGTTGCATCCAATCATAAAATATAGCAATGGTTTTAAGTAGATATTGTAAAACCTCATGCCAATAAACTGAAATTAAAGATTCATCTAAGCCGTTTCCGAGTGAAAATTTAGTAAGCAATCGAGATATACAATTTGTGTGTGCATTAAGTCAAGAAATATGGTTTCATGTATTGAAGAAAAAAATCACAGGGTGTAGGAATGAGAAGCGGAAATGTTCGATGTAAAATAATTTTACATAAATTCATTACAAGTGTGGTCTATATTAAAAGATGTGGAATCCGTTGCATCAAAAGTTTCAAAGACCTAAAAAAGAAGAGTTCGAAAACAAGTGCAATATTACAACACTAGTGAGGTAATTGATATAAATCACATAACCGTTGGAGACATATTGTTACACAAAAACTTACATCCAAACTATTTTAATTAAAGTAACATTTACAAGAACACAATTGCTCAAAATGAATTTAGAGTTTTTAATATATATAAGTCTCGTTCATTTTATCGATTTGAGTTTTTAATTTTAAATTTTTACAGTTAAAAACTCTTAGAAAATGTCATATCTAACTTTTTTTATTACAGTTAAAAATTTTTAAAAAATGTCACATCTCAACTCTTATAATGATCGAAGCCTATTCACCTAACCACTGATAACCTACAGGTCTAAGATATTTTAAAATTTGTAGCCTGTCATTATTTTCTGACCTTTCATATATAATCAACCGGCTCAAATTTACCTGTGAGGCAAATAGTGCCTGCATGAAAGACATTTCCTAAAATAAAATCCATATTAACAATATATTTACCAAAAGAATCCATATTAATAATATTTGCCCGCTTTCCAAGAAACCTTTGTTGCCCGCTCAATCTAAAACCCTACCCAGAGGTTTAGCCCCACATTAGCAAAACTTCATCCGTCCTTCTGTGGCTTCTCTAATGGCGGTTCATGGTTCGAGTCCGAACGAAGCTCAACCTTCAGGCGACATAGCTCGCAGTTATTTCTTCGGTGAGCATTTCCCTAACCATTCTGCTTCTTTCGTCGCTATTACCAATATCACCGAAAAAAAAAATCTCTATGAAGTCGTGTGAAATTTGGCTAAGTTTTGAAATTTGTTGAATTCGATTCCAGTATGGAGAGAGTTCTCTTGGGGAGCGATTGCCGGGGCTTTTGGGGAAGGAATGATGCATCCCATTGACACCATTAAGACTCGAATTCAGAGTCAAGCTATTCTCACTGGAACTCAGGTCTAAATTATACAACTTTTTGATTCTATATGAATATATATATATAATGTTAGAAATTAAAGATTTGGACCTAAAAATTAAGAACATTTATGTTAGATCATTAATAATTAATAAATCTGTAAGCGGAAGCGTATTAGAATTTATATTGCTTGATTTCTCTCTAGAGTCGTGTAGTTTGTCTTCCAGATCAACACGTTTTCCTAGAGAACTCTTTAACTTTCTCTCTGTACTCTTTCTGATGATGTGATGTCAGAATGAATGAATAATCCGTGTGATCTGGGGACCATAACTGCCATATATTGATAATTTCCCTGTTATCTTTTGGTATTTCTATTTTAGCCCATCA